AACACACGGAAAAGTCCAAAACCCACCCCAAGATCTTGGTGAATTCCATGGGAACGTTCTTGCTTTTCCTGGTTTGACCACCTGAATTCCGTTTGGGGATCATCTTATCCAATTTCCCTTCCGCACTGGTTGACCCTCACATGGAACTCCTCATTAATTTTCACATTAAAAACTCACGCAAGGAACTTGTGCCTTTGCCATCTTGACTGAAGTTTCAGGGAAGTGGGCGGGGAAACACCACTGATCTGGAGACCCGGAGAGAGTTAAATCCGAGCAACACGAACAATTGGAGTGTTAAAGAAGCTTATTTATTAAGATTTTTCTTCTATCCACCCTCGGGGACTTTTTACCAACGGCAAGTTCACTCCGGCGTCCCCACCTCTTTTAGTTCACATTCTGGCCCCCATTCTCTCGCTCTGATTGCCTTCAGACGACTTGATTCTTCTTCTAGCTCTGACTCTCAGACTGCGCCCTGAACTTCACTCTGTGTCCTAAATTCATGGAGGAGCTCAGCAGGGAGTGGCGGGGGTCAAGTTCATTCCCACGATCCGCCCTCAAAAGCTAGATGGGGTTGTAATTTTATTTCCCTTAGTTATGTTTAATAAGTATGTCCGATCATCTGCAACAAGAGACTCGAAGAGTAGACTGAACTTTTAGCTAAAAGTGGAGGGATTTAAATCCCTGATTTCTTTTGGCCTTAAATTTCCCAGGAGGCGGAATCCGTGCAGAAGCGGAGTGGTGCGAGGCATAGGAAGTGGGCGGAGCATAGGACGTGGGCGGAGGGACGAGCTGCCAAGCTCCACCCAGATGGGCGTGGCCAGGCCCCCCCACCCCGCCACTCATTCCAAACGCCTTCCCCTTCCGGTGCTCGGGCGGGGAGATGAGCGCGGAGTCACGCGCCCACGCAGACGCTGCAAGCCCCACCCTCCGGTGACGTCTTGAGACGCGACGCGTCGCGACGCAGTGCAAATCGGGAAAGGGGATGAACTGAGCTGCCTTCCGTCGGGACAGCGAAGACTGATTTCTCCCTCGGGCTGGGGGACATGGGCCTTTGGCTGGGAGGCCGGCCTAGGGGAGGCGCACCCGGCACCACGGTGAGTCAGGCGCTGGGTTCCTAGGGAAGCTGGCTGTAGTGTCCTCTTTCCTTCCACCAGCTGCTGGTCACTCGGGAGAGAAACCCTGTCCGCGGAGATGGGTGGGACAGCCCCGAAACATGGAACCAGCTTTCGGAGGAAAGGGCCAACCTTGGGTTTTCTCGCTGTCCACTTAGGAAGGCCCAGCAAATTTCGCGTGCACTCAGCTATTCCTCTCTCAGAAGGTGGCCTTGGCCATTCCTCCTCCACACCCAGACTGTCCTTTGACCTCCTTCTTGCTTCTGTTTTGCGATTTTTTCGCTCTCGCTCCACTATCTGTCTGCAGCCCTAGGCCTCACTATAACCTCTCAAAGTATTTCCCAAACCCTCTTCTGTCCCAGTCACACTGCCTGTAGCCAAATGTAAGAATCAGTTTAAAGACCCTATACGCTCATGAGTTACGACTACGACTTCCTAAAATACAATCTATTCCCCCCCCCCCCACTTAGCTACGCCTTCTCCCCTAGAACGGTTGGCCAACTTAATTTCACCTCCACTTCACCTTGGAAATGAACCGAACCGTGAATTGCAATTATAGGCATTTATATGCATAAAGCCGCAGACCACACTCCTGGGTTTATGTCTTACACCTCCAATTCATTCTGTGACCTTGAAGCAAGTCAATCACTAGCAAAACATTTACCTGACTCAGAGGCGGTGCAGAGCCTGAAAAAATTAGTATTTGTTAAGGGAGCTGCTGCTCTCTGGGAATCTGCAAGCATCTTTAATTTTGTGTATCCTGCTGCAGTCATTAAAAATGTGATATTTGTTAAGGAAGTGTTCTTGGTCTAGGCTTGCTACGCGGCTTAGCCGTGTAAGCACATTTTTCATTTCAACAGATTCTGTTTAAAATTCAGTGTTTAAAATTCAATGCCATTCTTGATGGACTTGGGTGGTTTCTCATGTCTTTACAGTATTAGGCCGATTTATCAGAAAGGCAATGTTGGTTGTGCTGTCTGCCATGTTGGTGCAGCTGCCTTGAAATGTATATTCCTTATGACACATTAGATGCATCTTTAAGACGAGCTAGTAATGATCCTGTAAATTATTTTTTTAAAAGCCGTTATCATTGCCATTACATATTAGGTATGTATTGTATTATTTGAAAAGATGATGCATGAGAAAAACTACAGCTACTGTAGAGGTGTGTTAGTGCTGTTTTTTACATACAAAAACTGTTTTCTTGGTCATTTGTAAATGTGAACATACAATGACTTTTGTATGAAAGTTGAGGGGAAAATCAAGATCAGATTTTCTTTTCATAAAATGCCATTAAATTCTCCAGGTGATTCTAGTATACAGCATGGATTAAGAGCCATGTTTGGGGGATTTTTTTTGGAACATAGTATGGGGATTTGAGGAGCCCTAGGAGGTGCAGTGGTAATGGTTTGCCTACTAATAAGAAGACCCATCAGCCACACCGCAGAGAAAGATGTGGCAGTGTGCTTCTGCAAAGAGGAAGTCCTATGGGGCAGTTTGCACTGCTGTGGGCTCCCTAGGAGTCGGTGTTAACTGGATGGCTGTGAGTTCTTTTGTTCTCAATATAAGCATGGTCTGTCTATTTAGCTATTTTGCAGATAATGAAGAAGAGACAATAAATGGAATAAGGTTCTAAATGTAGTAGACATCTATTATCTAGTCTGCAAAACATTAGTCCCCTTTAGGGAAGGTGTTTAATAAACCAGATTTTTGACTAGTTGGCCAGTGCCTATGTAACTCTCTAAGTTTACTGTGCTTTGTTTCATATTATCCTGCGTACTTTTCATCTTAAGGGGTAGAAACTATATTAGGTTTATTCTTAAAGCTCCTAAACACAGCACCTTGCGTATAGTAGCCAGTTGCCATCTAGTTGATTCTGACTCATGGTGGCTACATGTGTGTCAGAGTAGAACTGTGCTCCAAATGATTAGTTTTTCAGAAGTAGATCGCCAGGCCTTTCTTCCGAGGTGCTTCTCTGTGGACTTGAAACACCAACCATTCAGTAAGCAACTGATACGTTAACAGTTTGTACCACCAGAGAATTCCTTGTGTATAGTAGATATTCCAAATGTGTACTAAGTTGAAGCCAGTTTATACATTTACTCTTCAGAGCTATTACCACCACCACTGCTATTCCAACTCTAGTGATCCTTAGTAGAGTTTTGGAGACCACAAATCTTTCTCCTACAGAGCAGCTGGTGGGTTTGAATCACTGACCTTGCGGTTGGTTGCGGTTAGCAACCCAATACCTAACCCACAGTACCACCAAGGTTCCTTTGGGCTAGTTAATTTTGTTCTCCTTTCTCATTTTTAAGGCCTGTAAGAACTTTGTAAAAGTTTCTTGGGATTTTTTCTTTCTTTGGGTTTCACAACATTACACTTCTGGTTTGCCTTTCCTTCTAATAATGCCTTCTCTCCTTTTATTGATTCTTTCCTCTTCCAAACCCCCAATTCTGGGCCATCCAAGTATGTTGTCAGCTCTAGAGAAATAAGAGATGGTTTCCACGGTGATCCATTCTACTGACTTTAATTACTAATGTGAACTATTTCCATGCTTTAAAAGGTATTACATGACTTCACTTATATTAAAGACAGGAACAAGCAAGTGTATAGAGACCAAAGTTTCTTGGTTGTTACCTGGGGTGATCGGCAGGGGGAGAGGGAGTTCTTGCTTATGGAATACTGTGTTTCAGGTTACAGTGATGGAAAAATCCTATTGATTAAGGGTAAGGTTGCACAACTGATTATTTTAAGTGCTGTCAGTAAGTTGTACACCTGTAGAAAGTTGAATTGGAAAAAGCTGTGCGAACGATAAATTTGCAATAATAACAAAAAATAAAGAGCAGCTGACACTACTGATGTACAACAAATACCTTATGGGAGTTGGTTCCTTCCTTGATTTGGAGCTGTAAGGTCACGGTTTTATGTGAAATCCTACTAATTGGCCTAATAATGTATTTAGTGCTTCTCTTTGAGTACTGCCTGGTGGATCTTAAAAGCTTGAGAGAAACTGTACAATGAGTGATCTATTTGCTTGGAGCAATAGAGAAAGGCTTGTCGGGAATAGGAAGAGGACATAGAATGTGTGGCTAAACCACCTCCAACATGGAGCAGAGGAACTGCATCTGTCTATGATTACTGAACATTTTGATGAAAGATTCCCTGGAATATTGATCAAAAGGGGGAAAATACAGAACTTCCAATTATTTAAAACTTAAACCAAAATTAACCTCTGTAGGCATGTTAAACCCAATAATAGTTTGACATCACTGGTAGAGAATGTCTGCTTTGAGCATTGTGCTCTTTCAAGATTTATGTATATAAGCTCAAAATGCAATAGCAGCTTGTGAGATTTGATAGGCAGCTTTGGGGTTAGCGAGTGTATATTCGTGGGGAGGGCACAACTCAGAAAAGGAGAATGAGAATGATCGTAGAACTTGAAGAAAGCCATTACTGTCACTGTTTTGTCCGAATTGAGACTTGCAGTGTGCTCTGCTGTGTCTGTTCTCAAAAAGAGGAAGAGTCTTGTGACAACAGCATGAAAGGGGGGCCCTGTCTAGCTCCTCCGGCTTCCCTGTTGCCACCAGGCAGAGGTCAGCCATTCCTCCACACTCTCTCCTTCTTTACCTATTCAGACACCAACTATTCCTCCTCCGGTACTCTATTTCTATGCTGGGTTCAATAATTCAATAATTCATTGCAATGACCACACAGAACTCACCACAATACCCACAGTGAAGGGGCTTCTTAGGGGAGTTAACAGGGTACCACAAGCCAGGATTAGTAATAGTAAGGGTACAGTCATTCCACACCAACACTTCTTAGCCAACAGCAAAGTCCCTCTGGTCCTCAGCTTCTCAAACACATGATCTCTTGGCTTCAGTCTCTGGGCCAGGAAACTAGCCTGGTGCTCTGCTTCACAGTCTCATCATCTGGATGCTGCTTCTCTGTTCCGGCATGGCCTCCTGGCCTTGGCCTCTGTTGCCTCTGGTCTCAACCTCCGCCATTTCCCACATAGACCGTGAATGTGCTCTGCTTCTGATGGTTCTGGGATTTCTCTCTCCTCCTGCTGAGACTGCTCATCCTGATAGCCAGGGGAGTAGCGACTAAAACCAATCTCCTTTGTTCGTGTTACTCATGCCCTATTTGCATAGTCCCACCCATTCATTTGGTGGGCGTTACAGAGACATGGGTCGAAGAACAATATTAAGAAATGTCTTTCCACCACAACCCTCAATGAGATGGAGTGGCACAGGGGCTGCAAAAACGGGCTCAAACATAAGAACTGTTGGGGGGGAGGAGTCCACACCGGGGCAGTCTTTTGTTCTCTTGTATATAGGGGCCCTGTTGGTCAGAACCAATTCAACAACAGCAATTCTCAATAACAACAAAATAAGTAATATGAAAAGAACTAATACAGATGTTTTAAAACATACATTAAAGTGAAGAAACGGATTATTTAAAACCAAATTCAATCTAATGTATCATTTCAGTGTCAATCATTGATACTCTTCCAAAGCAACAGGGATTATCAAAAGAAACATTAATAATTAACATATATTTTTAATATCTATTTGGTCTCTTGACCTGGCCTTTAATTGCATTTATATCGTCCCCGCATAATATCTTTCTATAGATTTTCCGTCAGCATATATTTGACATGTTCAAATTTGAATTACCTTCTTTGTAAATCAGTGGTTTTTTATTTGGGGCATTTTCCCTTGTGGACATTTGGACATGTAGAAATTTTGGTTGTCATAATTAGGGTTGTGTTGCTCCTGGCTTCTAGTGGAGAAAGAATAAGAATACTCTAGACACCCTCCAATGGAGTAGCCAGCTACAAGATTCACCCACCTAGAAACTGTGCTGTAAACTAATTTTTTTAATCACAGAGTTCATTTTTGTAATAGAAATGTCCTTCATCTGTGTGAGTGTGTGTAAGAGACTGAAGAAGATAGTCCAAACCAGAGCAGATTTGTACC